AACCTATACAAGGAATGTAACAAGGGAGTACAATTGGAATTCGGCACATATGTTGAAGCAATGACAGACCATTCTAACATTAGAGGAGCATTTACTGTCTATCAGATTTAATATAAATAAATGCAGATAATTGCAGCAGCAACATCAACCACTAATGCACCACATCTGTAACAAATATAGTCTGCATCAAACTAAAAGCATTCAAGTTCTTGTCCATCAAAAGTATCACTACGAACCCTAAATCCAGCAAAGGAAAGCAAAACAAAGTGTGCAGAATCATATCACACAGTTAGTCCACATATACTTCCAGCTGCAGCAGCAACAATATATTAACCAGTACCTCCTATGCTAAGTATATATTAGAAAACTGAAGCCCAAGCCTTCTAAAACCTACCCCATTCTTTATATCGTTATGTTTGTTTCAGTTTTCTAGAAATAAAAGTGAGATAATTAAGACGTTAAAAACAGATTCAAAAGAATAATCTCTGCAAAGTAGATAGCTCTGTGAATTGAAAAGCTCCAAACAAATTGTGAGGCCACCGACTCCTGGAACACTTTGTTCTAATGGGGCAATCAATATATGCATGTGTTTTATTTGGTGCCTGGCTTTGAAAAGATCTGAGAGTCAATATGTTGAAATAGGAAAAGGTTTAGGGGGTGTATTGGGTTATGATTTTAAAAGACTTATTTGAGATAAAAAATCCTACAGATTTTAAAAAGACATTTTAGAATTGTAGATACTTTAAGACTTTTTTAAAAGACTTTTTTTACCATTAAGATTTCATAGGATTGGATTTTAAAGGATTTTAATAGAATTCATAAGATTTGAAAGGACAATATGGATTTATAAGATTTTAAAAAATTATATGAATTTTTAGCAAATATTCAAAATTACAAGAGTCAATAAAAACAAATAACAAAGAAAAGCAATGATATTAATAAAAAAAAGTAAACTTAACAATGGGTTAAAAATTATCTCAAAAATTACTAAGCAACAACTCTCCACCTATCAATAAAATCTAATATAATTTTCTCAATGAGTTTGAGTTTGAGTTTGATTTGCGAAAATAATAACCATATATCAATGGTTAACTTCCAAGTTAAATATTAATTAATGAGTTTAATTGGTGAAAATAATAACCACTGATTGACAGAAATCAACGGTTAAAATATGGTTGTAAACAAAAATAGGTTGTAAGTATAATATTCTCCACAAAGAAATGCAATGAAATTAATAAAAAAAAGTAAAACCTAATATAATTTTCTCAATCAGTAAAACATCATATAATTTTTAACAAACATTCAAAATTACTAAACAACAGCTTTTCACATATCTAATGGGTTGAAAATTATCTTCTTCATTTGGTATCAAAGTTATGCATATATGATTATAAGACCCAATTTTTTTTAATTATAAAAATAATTCTAAATTTGCATATAGAACCTAAAGTTCATGATAAAATTTCGTTTGAAATTTTTTGCAATTGATCTTGAAAACTTTGGGGTTTTTGTTTTACGTGATGAGAGTTTTCTAACCATATATCATATACATATTTTCATTGAATATTCTAAGAAAATTTTGAATATGAAATTTTGGGTTTAATTACATGAAAGTTTAGAAAATTTCTCAATTTTTTTCAGTCGATACATTGAAACCTTAAATTGCTTTGGGGCTTTTGAGAAACAAATTTTTAGTTATCTATTGACACAAAAATTGTTTGAAATCGTTTCATGTAGTGAAGGAATTTCGTTCATGAATGTATTGTTACGAAATATAGGGTTCATATTATGAAAGTTTCAATCTTTCTTTAAATTGATATTGCTTCATTGATTTAAAACGAAAATTGGTTTGAGGGTTTTAGCTTCTCTGTTATTCTTTCACTGTTTTATGTTGTTTTTTTATACAAAAATCCCACGTTTTTTTGCCAAAAAAATTCACGACCCATAGCTTGAAAAATTACTTTTGAGATAGATTATGTTAATTTTGTGCCAAAATAGCTCAAAAATATGTTATTTTTGAGATAGATTATATTAAAATCTCGTTGGTTTGTTGTTTCTGGGTTGTTTTGTTATGAAAATCGCTCAAAAATATGCTCTTTTTTTGTTTTGACGAAGCTTCCATGACGGAACTCAATTTCGAGCAGCCAACCTGCCAAAGAAAGAAGAAAACACTGCAACAGAAGAATCTCAAGAAATCCTAGGGGTTAGGGTGAGATTGTGAGAGAGACATCCTATTTGTATTTTTCGCTAAAAAATCTCACGAAATCCACACCAATAGAAAATCCATTAAAATCGTCGGATTTTTGAATACCACGAGATTGTGATTCCATTGTCTAAAATCCTGATTGAATATTAACAGATTTGGACGGATTTTAAAATAATCCTTTAAAATCCTAATCGAATACCACGTGACTTTTTTTCAATCCATTAAAATCCTAATCGAATACCAACGGATTTTTTTGTCCAAAAACATTCCGTTAAAATCCTTTGAAATCTCAATCTAATACACCCCTAGTTTTGGTGAGAACATCACGCAAAACAATCATATCAGTTTGCATTTAATTTATTGTATTATAAAAGGCTTATCATTTTATACCATAACAACCAAACGAAAAAAACAAATCAATGTTTTAGCCACCATAGAAGCAGAAACAGCCAAGAGATAATAAAAAACATTGTAGGAATAAACTACAAAGGATTATAAGTGATAATCAGTTGAAGGCTGAAAACATAAACCATTGGCAAGAGAACTCTTATCAAAATAAATTTATTAAAACATAGGACTTGGTCAAAACTTCTTCAATAATAGTCAGGCAAGTTCAACATCAATAGACAGGCAATGTGAAATAAGTCTCTCACCTTGTTTAATCATTTTACAAGACCTCCATTGACCATTTCATAAAGAAGTTTCTGTGTGTTATCATTTTTTTTTCTTCTATAAGTGCATGAATAAGTGTCTCCATAGTGGCAGCATCAAGGGGGCAGCCATTGTGGAAATTTTTTAAAACAAGGCCTCTGCTTCATGAAACAAGTCTTCTTTATAAAGTCCAACAATCAATCATAGCTTTATATGCTTGGACATCTAGACAGTCCTTTAATAAAAAGATGCTGAAAATATTGTGTTCATTATTTAGCCTTCCACCTTTGCATGGTCCATCAGTGCATGCCACATGAGCATGATGGCTTTTGAAAAGTGTATCTAACAAAGACATTGTAAGAGATTACATTAGGAGGTCCAGCAATATCATACATCTCATTAAGATGATCTTGAACATAGAAGAGTTTCTCCTAAATTTGCAAATTCCATCAAAAAGAGAATTACAAATTTAAGCCAAACTTTTTGTGACACATATCTTACAAGATATTCATGGCTTGATCTGCAATTATAAATTTATAATCTTATAGTATGCATCAATCATGATGCTACAACTTCGAACATGAGGTCCCAATCCCTTTATGATCATAGTATTGAATACATATTTTCTCCGGTTAACTTTATTGAATAAACAATACCCATAAATCGCTGTAAGTAATAAGATCCGGTTTCTAAGCTCTTTTTTTATCATCCACACCTTTATTCCTTCAACACATAGTGCATCAACTAATGTATTAGAGAACTGAGATATATTAGGTTGATGTCATTTTGGAACATTTCATTTAACAAGTGAGTTGCTTCTTTCTAATGCTACATAATCCATGATTAGATAGCTGAGAGTGACGACATTAGAAAAAATTCCCATATAATCAAAATCAGAATACAAATCATGTGCCTAGTCATTCTTTGCATAAACCATTAGCGATGTTGCTATACACCAAGACCTTCCTTAACCACGTGTCACCCTGTTTTCTGCATCACTTGAATGGCAGCTCTTGTTTGTCCTATTCTACAAAGCCCAATTGATAACGGTTCCACAATTAACTTATCCTAGCCTCACCATTAATATGGAGTCCTTTCATCAATGCTGTCAAGATTAATGTATAGCGTTGATAACACCTCATGAGAATGTTTGCCAATACAGAGAAAGCAAACCCTATCCGATCCTCCAAGTGGCAGTAACTACACATCAAGATACTCAAAGAAACTTAAGAAGGTGTAATGCTTCATCTTCCCAATTGCCCTTAAAACCTTATCAATTTTCATAACAGATGGAGGACACATGATTTGGAGCATGTGATTGACTGATGCCACATCCAGAACTTTGATGCAAATTACATTGGAATTGATAAAGAGAAGGTAGAGGTCAGAATGACATACCTTTATTTGTCTTGGTAATGGTCGTAAACTAGTAATGACACTTCAGCTTTATCTCAACGCTGTTGTCAGGAGAACTATTATTATGACAATGATCTGTTTCCTTACTTTTAAAAGAGAAAGCAAATAAATGAAAAATTAAGTAAACCACTCACCCATCAAATAGTTGAAGATTTTATGTATTTTGAAGCATAATACCACACAGCATAATTATAAATTCCGCATTATTAAATTTAAAAAATATGTAAGATTTTTCTGAAAAAGCCGAAATGTCTTTGGCATCGATTTAATTTCACGGTATGGACCATGAAATTGTTTACACCTTAAACAAAAGAACATGCAATACTTATGACAACAGACACCGATACCAAGCATAATCTTTGGACAGAAGCCTGAAGAAGTAGTATGGATACTGAGCATAGTGTCATTAAAAATTACATCTCAAAAGAATCAAGTGACTAAAAGAATTAATTTTGTTTATACATCTACAGTTGACTTCTGTTCCTAGATCTCTCAACTACATTCTAGAAATTTGTCATCGGGTGCTGTACTTTCAGTTGCACCTAAAGTCAAAATTTGAAGGCAAGAACAATCGCCATGGAAAGAATCGTAAACATGAGGCATGAATTGCAGTTTCCCAGTACATGACTTGATTTTCAGTGACTCCCAATTTCTCAGTCCCAACATCTTCGTTAGACCTTCTGTTCTGCCACTTTGCAAATTCCAAAATCAAGAGAATGTCAACACAGTTAACAAACTAATTATATCTCCCTCGTTTCTGGCCAGGATTGAGATTGTCTATTGACCAATACATCTAAAGCCTCCTTCATCCAAGTATGTGGACAAACTTTTTTTGCTTCAGCAACAGTCATCTGCATGATGCAAATCAAACGAAACTTTAGGACCCAAACAAAAATCAAGGTAACCACCCCATTAAGATAAATCGACTATACACTTACCCATCTTCGTTTTCGGAAGTTCTTCTCAGGCCAATTCTCTAATTGCTTATTGACAAGCAAAGAGAACATATATCCTTCATGTACCCTGCCTTGGCGTTTGCTCTTATAAAACCATTTGCCCAATTTACTCTGCAAAAGCACACAGAGGGTAAGAAACAAAGGTGTAACATTTGCTAAGAAACCAAAGGTAGAACGTGATTGCAGAAACTAACTTGGATGTTGCCGGCAACCCCAGCTTCCTCTATGGTCTCCCTTAAAGCAGCCTGCTCCATGGATTCATCAGTCTCCCAACCTCCCTGAAGGCAAACAAAAACCACGCACATGTCAGGAACCAAAGGTTGAAAATGAACCATTACCATATCAATTTGATTAAACAACAATCATTGGCAATGCAAGTTGCCGAAAAACAATACCTTTGGGAACTGCATTCCATTGCCGTTCTGAGCACTAATCACAAGAACCTCTAATTCCTTCTTTTGGAGTCCCTTTCTCCTGTATCTGTATGGAATGCATCTGTTCATTTTCAAAATTACACACAACATGTCAGATTAACAATAAATTTTTAATGCAATAACAATTTGAATTTTAAACCATAAAAATAATGTCAAACATCATTCTTATTATTAGAGAACAAACATTTTTGTTTTCTAATACTTCTTTCTCTGTTTAAATGCTTTTGGCCGCCCATTAATCAAATCAAATCCATGTTTTAGCTAGCCATTATGAGAAAACCCAGTTGATAAAAAGTTCTAAGTTGAGAACTTGATAATTAGAAAAAGATAGAGAGAGAGAGAGAGAGAGAGAGAGAGAGAGAGAGAGAGAGAGGGAGAATGTAACAGACCCCACAACTTGGCGACAGCCATCATCATAGCGCTGCAAATGCCTGCCGGTACGGGCAACCAAGCACTCCAATTGCTTGGGAAACAAATGGCCATAAAGGTTCTTGGAGAAAAGAAATGGGAGAAAATATTTAAAAGGCAAATTCCTAGAAAAGAAGAGACCCATGAAGCCAAATTGTTGGATTAAAACAAAGAAAAAGAAAAAAGCGAATGTTGGAGGATCGAAGTAAACAAGAGGACGAGAATGAAGAAAAGAAGAAGAAAGACATGAAAAGGAATGGATGGATGGCAGTTGCGAAAGTGTTGGAGTTTTATGGTTACATATATATAGGTTCTACCTATTTATTGCGAAATTGTTTGGTTTCTGCGTTTGCGTGTGGAGGAGATAGATATGTATCGCATCGCATCGTTTACTTTTGCTTTTTCCTCTAATTTCAATGGACGGAAATCTTTTTATAACAAATCGTTTCTAGATTTTTATTAATAGTTATTTATTATTTATGAGAAATTTTGGCATCAGGTTAGTTGGAAATTTTATAATAAGAAAACATTACAGTTGACTCCACTTGTAGTTTCTCCTTTATTTTATGAAAAAATATATTTCTGCTATCAATAGCATCACATGAATTGTAAATGTATGAATCTGCCAAAAAAATCGGCAATTCTTAATTTCAATACTATTTTTTTATTCATTTTTTTAATTCTTTCTATTCTTTTAATAAAAATATATTAAAAATATATTGAATTCTATTATATATATATATATATATATAGAGAAAGATATTTTAATCTGTAACAACCAACTAGTATTACCAGTAGTGTTACTACCAATAAATTTCACTGTTAGATCGATTATGTTGATTCAACGGTTGTATTTATTAAGGATTTGCATGGGTTGAACCGAACTGGTTTTTTTTTTTAAAACCGAACCGAATCGGTTCAAAACTGGTTCAGTTCGGAAGTGGTTCGGTTCGGTTCAAAACTGGTTCAGTTCGAAAGTGGTTCGGTTCGAAACTGATTTGAAAACAGTTCGGTTCAAAATCGGTTCATGTTGTGAATTAATAATTAATTAATGAGTTTAATTTACGAAAATCATAACCATTAATTGACGGAAATCAACGGTGTTAAGATATGATTGTAAGAGGTTGTAAACAAAATAGTTGTAAGTATAACTTATCTCTAAATATTACTCTCAACTTCTTTACAGTTGATTCCACTTGTAATTTCTCCTTTTTTAATACATTTAATATTGAGTTTTATAAGAATAATGTTGTAGAAAAAATTTGTTATGTTATGCTAAAACAAAAAATTTCGTAGAGCCCACTTTTTCTTTAAAAAAGAAAGAGAAAAAATGCTGGTGGCAGTTTCCATGTATGTACAGGACATGAAATTGCTTTCCAGCAACATGTGATGAAACAATTCCCCTTTAATATTACTCTCAACCTGCGTGATATTTCATTTGTTTTAAATTAAATGTCGCCTTGAAAGTTTTATATTGTTTCAAATTATGGATTTCTCTTACACGAGAAACAATAGAAAATATAATAAAATTATTGCCGACGTTATTTTAATGTTATCTTCAGTTTTTGAATAATTGTCACTTTAGACAAATAAAAAATGCATTAGTTTTTTTTTTAACTTTATCTTTGTCTATTAGATTTTCCACTAAGTGGAATGAGAGTGAAATTATTGAATAAGAGAGTAAAATAATCAAATGACCTTATATTTTTATGAAATAAAAATATTTAATGACTTTCTTGATCTTTTTACAAAATCTTAAACCATTAGCGTTATTAAAACCATGTCGTTAAGTACATCCTTTTCAAATAAGAAAAAGGATAAATTCTCAAATTCATCTTTAAGAAATAATGCGTGCGTAGAACATATTAGTCCTTTTTTAAAATAAAAAATTTAATATAGTATCCACATGGCATGTTAAATATCTTTGTCGCCATTCAATTTTAACAAATGAAATTTTTAATATCCATTTAAATTGACTTTCAAAGTTCACAAGAATATAAATATGAAATATGACTTATTTATAATAATAATAATAATATATTTTGTTTTAATCAAATTCGCATTAACAACTTTTGTTCAATATATCATTTAAATTGACTTTCAACCTTAATTAATGTATGATGACCACGTATGATTAACTTAGAAAAAAAAACAAATGTAACCATTCACACGGAAAAATAACATAATTTCAATGTATTAGATTGAAATGTCCCAGTTTTAATATATATTTAAAAAAACACAATTACATGAAAGGCAAAAAATTATGTATAAAATGAATAGCCCTTATAATTAAAAAAAAATTAATTATAAATCATTGAGAATAGAAAAATATTAAGTCACAATGTATCATTTATTTAAAATATCATTAATTTGTTAAATAATTTAAATACTCCAATAACAGTAATAAAAAAACTTAAAGTCTTAAATGTTGAAATTCAAAGTGGAGAAGAGTGGTGTGAACGTATTCAGTCGGAGGAGAGAAGTTCTAACTTTACTATTTATTTATGTTCCTTATTGTTATATTCATTTCATTGAAATTATAGTAGATGAAAAGTGTGATTATATATATGCATTTAAATTTGATGTATTATCATTGTAATTTTTGTAACATTATCTAATTATATATAACATGTCATTTAAAAAGTTAAATTTTTAATGACTTGATAATATAAGATTAAATGATAGTGTTGATAATGATAATACATCCAAATCAAATCATACATTTTTTTGGTAAATTAAATTTGAAGCGTTATATAATAAAATTTAAATTAAATTCAATATTTTAATATGAAGTATGATTTCTTAAGAATTTTTGTCGCAGCGTTTGATAGGTAGCGTCGGTGTCAACATGATATAGAAATGAAGTGAAAATTAATAAAAAAAATTGTTATAGTTTTTTAGTCAGAATTTTTAATTAAATGAGTTGGCATATTTTTTCTTGATGAAATGGGTAATTCATTGATTCACATTTGTTTATTTTAACCAGCATCGTCCTTTGACTTTCGTGTTTATCATTTCAAATTAAATATTTATCCCTATGCGACTCCGACTCGCACGACTCCAACTCATACATTACACGGCTACAGGTGGGTGAAAGTTTGAAAGCAATTTCTTGCGAAAATGGATTTCTTATACGTAATTTAACATAATCATATCATGTGAGAGGATCTTAACCATTAATAATTAAATTAATGGTGATGATTATATAACTTTCTATCGTTATATTTTTTTCTCTCCTTCCTTATCACCTTAACTTACACATGTATAATTATAATTGTCCCACATAACATGATCATATTAATTAGCACATGAGATGATCTACTCCCATATTGCCTTTTCCTTTAGTCCTCCCCCTCTGCTCATAAAAAAAAATAAAAAAAAAATAAAAGCATACTTTTTTTTTTTTTTTGGAGTTACCCAACCCTAATTATCTCTTTGAGACGAGTTGGCTCCTTCCGATATCCCCACGAGCTTCGACTTTTTGAGCCAGCTATGAGACTAATCCGGAGTGCGGGGGAACAATGATGGCTAAAGGTTCAGCCCCTTCCCCAAGAATGCATTCAGCGGGAATCGAACACATATCCAACCCCACTAACTCAGCGTCAAGTTACCAACTGAGCTGCACCTATTGGATAAAGCATACTTTTCTTAACGGAAGTTTTTACATGATTTTATATCAATGTAATTTAACAATGAATAAAAATAATTTCATATAAAAATTTGCGTAAATGGGAGGACTTGTATCATAAATCCTTGGCCCTCGTTACTAGAAGTTTTTTTTTTTTTTTCTGCTTAGTGGATGTTAAAGTTGCTTTTTTTTTTTTCTCTTTTTTCAGTCATTTTTCAGAACTTATCGGCTAACGTGGAGAAAAAAAAAATAACTTTAACGTTATAACTATATCTTACCGGTAAAACATAATTAAAAGAGGTACTTTGAGATAAGCTTACCTCAAGTGGCAGGAGAAATATCTTTCATATATATATATATATATATATATAGGGTTTTATAAGAGTTATGTTGTAGGAAAAGATTTTGTGTAATGTTATAGAGATTCGTTTTGCGTGTCGTAATTTCTTTTTTCTTCAAAAAGTGTGGGCCCCACAAAATGTTGTGTGTGTAGGAAAGTTTGTTGTGTCATGTTAAATGACAAATGCAAACCCCATATATATATATATGAGGTAGGATCCTTTGACACCAGTGTCAAATTTAAAATTTGACACTGGTGTCAAATAGCCGTTAGATCAAAAAAGATCAATGGTGTCACATGCTTACAAATCAGAGTCATTGATCTTTTTTGATCTAACGGCTCTCAAATGAGGTGTCAAATTTCAAATTTGATACTGGTGTCAAAGGATCCTACTTCTATATATATAATTCGTTTTTTCTATAGTCAATGTAGATAACTTATCTACATTGAGCCCAAAACGACGTCGTTTTGAGACGAAAATTAAGGTGTTTTTGTAATTATAATTTATTTCAGGATTATAATATTCTTTTTCATTATAATTTTTTAATTTTTAAACTTAAAATGTAATCGATTTAGAAGCGAATGTAGATAAATTATCTACATTTCCTGTAGAAACATTAAAGCCATATATATATATATATATATATATATATATATATATATATAAAAATATATATATATAAAGTATTTGTCATTTTAAATTTTAAATGATATAAAGTTATGTCATTTTAAGAGAGAGATAGACACAAAATAATATTTCTTAAAATTTAAATAAAAAAATCCACTTTCTCCACCATGTTTTTCATTCCTTGTGTCTATCTCTCTCTTAAAATGATATAACTTATATCCTTTAAAACGACAAACATCAAACCCTATATATATATATATATATATATATATATATATATATATATATATATATATGGGTTAGGATCATTTTACACCAGTATAAGTTACACTCTTAATCTTATCCGTTGATCCCACTTATATCTATGGGCTCAAACTTTTTAATAACTTGAACCATTGGATACAAGTGGATCAATGGTCAAGATTGAGTGTAAGACTTCTAACTCTTACACCGGTGTAAGAATATCCTGCCCCTATATATATATATATATATATATATATATATATAGGGGTTTATATTTCTGCAGCTACTGTAGATGTAGCAGTCAAATACTTGTCATATATATATACGTGAAAGTATTAAACGTGAGGAATCATAATCATACATCTGTCATTGCTATACATAAAGCGGCTGTAGAAAAGATCTTACCATATACATATATGGAGAGAGAAATTTTCACTCCAGAGTAAGACTTACACTACAATTGACAAGTCTGACAGTTCATCTTAACCGTTGATTTTCACAATCTAACGATTATTGTTTAAAAAATTATACTAATTAATTATTAATAACACTATAAATAACAATTATTAATTTACATCCTTACTCCGGAGTCAAAAGAACCTCCATAGCATCGATACACAAATATTTGGAAAATATGTCTGACACGCTCCGACACGTTCCGACACGCGGTTAACATGGAACACTGACAAAAATTTATCAAAATGCCATGCGAACAGTACTTTTTACCAGACTGCCATGCAAGCATAATTTGCTACGACTCGTAGCAAATTATGTCCGCCAATGATTTTTTGACACAGCACACTTTCGCAGGAAAAAGCTGACATGTCATAATTCGCTAC